CGTGGAGAAATCCCGAGGCCACGGAGCGGGTACTGGTCCAGGAACGAGCAGCGACGAGCGCAGTCCACCAACTCTTGTTCCCGTGAGCCACCCCAAGTTCGTGACGACGACCTGACGTTGTGGCACTCGAGGTGACTGAAATAGCGGCTAATGCAGCTTAGTGCTTTCTGCATATGGTTCAAGAACTTATGTCCAAGGACGGCGTCAGGCAGTGGGATGAGGTCCCCGAACTCCAACATATTCGCGAACTTGTACTGGCTTGCCCAAGGGCAGTGAGTCTCCATATTGTCCCAATTGCCCTCGCCCCAGTCGTCAAGATGCGCGTCCATGCACGGGACGACGGTCATCCATGGGTCCTCGTCGAAGTCCTCTGCGGTCGCTCCGTGGATCGTTGTCACATCGTTGAAATGCCGCACGGATTTCGCACAAGGACGAAAAGGTTCTGCTTAGCGAATGTGCGTCCCGGCACTCATGGCCAGTGGTCTCGAGAAGATCGACTCGAAGATGCGTGGTGTCGAGAAGGTTCCCTCCATCACGCAACCTGCACACCACGCGCACATGCCCGACGACACACACGGGCATGGAGACACTCGTAAACGCGTCATGTCTCGAGATGTGCGACCCATGGCATTAGACGCAGTGTATGCCCCAAGATCCGATTTCGGGTGGCCGGCTTCGTCGGTGTTCACATCTACCAGCCCGCGGGCCAGCCGCAAACACGCCCTGCGACATGTTCGCCTGGATCCGAACTTGGCGAGACTGCGCGGGAAAGACGAAGCTGTCTCCCAAACCCGACGTCCAAAACTGCCAAGAAGTTCGGATCCAGGCGGACTTCAATTTTGTACGAAAAAGAAGTTGTGGCAATCCACTGGTCGCCAGAAAGTCCACAGTTAGAACCCGCACCACCCGAAAGGTGAAGCACGTCGGGGTCCGAAGTTGACGGTTTTCCGACGAACCGTGCACGGGAAGTTCGGATCTCAGCGGACTTTGCATTTTATAGAATCCGTAGTCCTCCGTGATCCGAAATTTACGATTGTCTGAGGAACCGTGCACGGCAAGTTCTGATCCACGGCCCAGCAGGAACATCTCCTGCCACATGCATTGCGAAAGGAAGACAACTCAAATTCGTCGGGATCCGAACTTGGCAAATTCGTCAGGATCCGAACTTGCGAAAGGAACATCTCCTACCACATGCATTGCGAAAGGAAGACAGCAAGTTCGAATCCACGGCCCAGCAGGCGAACCCGACGATGGGACGAGGAACCTTTGCACGAAAAGTACGGATCCCGGCGGACTTCGCATTTTTGCGAAACAAAAGTTGTGGCAAACACCCGTTCGCGAGAAAGGACATAGTCAGTACCCACACCATGCGCGACGCGAAGTTCGCCGGGGTCCGAACTTGCCACGCGCGGTCCGGATCCACGAGAGGGTGTTCGCCAGGATCCGAACTTCTTGAGACCGCGTGGGAGAGAATCAACCGGCGAGCTACACATTTTTTCGAATACAAAGTTGTGCCAAACACCGGGAGCTAGAAACCCGCGTTCTGAACCCGCACATTGAGACAAGCGAAGTCGCCGGGGCGCGAACTTGACGTCTGTGCGAGGAACCGTGCATTAGAAGTCCGGATCCCGACGGACTTCGCATTATCACGGATCCGAGGTTCGCCAAGGTCCGGACTTGACGAGTGTGCAAGGAATAGTGCGAGCGAGGTTTGGATCCGCAGGCCAGCAGGAACCTGTAGTTGGTTGGGATCCGAACTTGGCGAAATTATATGGGAGATACACACCTGTCTGCCAAACTCGCCGTCCTGCAATTTCTTGAAGTTCGGATCCCGGCGGACTTCATATTTTTCCACGTCCCAGGCTGTGGTTGCGGACCGGGGTTGCGAAGCGTGTTCCAGCAGCTGCATGAAGTTCGCCGGGATCCGGACTTGCGAAATTGCGTGGGAGACACACACCTGTCTACCGAACTCGCCATCCAACAATTTCTTCAAGTTCGGATCCCGGCGGACTTTCAATTTTTACACGTCCGAGGCTGTGGTTGGGGACCGGGGTTGCGAAGCGTGTTCGAACAGCAGCATGAAGTTCGCCGGGATTCGAACTTGGCGAAATTGCGTGGGAGATGCACACGTGTCTGCCAAACTCGCCGTCCAGCAATTTCTTGAAGTTCGGATCCCGACAGACTTCTAATTTTCCACGTCCCTAGTTGTTGTTGCGCACCGGGGTTGAGAAGCGTGTTCGAACAGCTGCACAAGCTCGCCGGGATCCCAACTTCTTCCGGTGTTTGATTGCGCGATCAGTTCGGTTGGAACGGCCACGTTCCGATCACGAGAACAGTGTCGGCGACGCGTGGGGTAGTGGGTGCTCAACGTTCGCCGTTCATTGACCGTCAAGTGTCGACGACCCTACGTCCTCCAAAGTTCGACGTCCAACGAGGTTCGACGCCCGCTGAGGTTTGATGTGGAGCCAGGCTCCATGGGCAGCATGGTTCGATGTTATACGAGGCTCGATGTGCAACAAGATTGTGACGAAGTGCTTTTTATTCGTTCGAAGATCGGGATCGACGTTTTTCCGATCGGTTGTGCGTTTCGTTCGCCGGTTTCGATCGTGCACATGATCATTCGCCTTGAGGATTCTCCGCGATCGTTCTCCACGATCAATTAGCACATAACAATCGATTGGTTGATCGACTGCTCGGTTGGCGGTTGGTGTGGTGGTTGATCAGCCAGCAGAGCAATCGCCAACCGAGCTGTCGACCAATCAGTTGATCCTGGCAGATTTCTTGACCGATCGACGGTTCGGTCGAGGACTGTCAGGTGGGTAAATAAACAGGTCGCTTGCCGGCGGGTTGATCTTCGGTGCAGCACACACGATCAATTATCCGATCGCAAGTAATCTTCTGTTTTTTAGCGATTGGTCGGTTGGATGTGTTGTCACCTCGTGCATTGGTTAATCATCCGTCGGGCAGATCAGCGGCGCTGTTGTTGGGGAAGCAAACAGCATCTATCACCCGATCGCGAGTGGTCGGCTTGCGTTTCGTGATGGGTCGGTTCATCACGTGTGTGGTGTACATATTGTCATGGATCTGATCGACCATCAAATCACGAGTGATCTGAACACACACGACAGAAAGAACAACACACACGCGGTGGTAACGTCGACACGGCAGACACGACCAATCATCCGATTGCGAGTGATCTCATCGTGTTTCGCGATTGGTCGATGGATGCGTTCGCTGTGTCGACATTGCCACCGCGTGTTTCGATTGCTCATCCATTGGGCAGATCTTCGGACATGACATTGGGACAGCACACAAAACCAATCGGGTATGGCGAGTGCTCACGATGACGTTGTGTTTCGTTATTGGCCGCCTCGTGTTCGATCCGAACTTCCGAGCTTCGCCACTTGAGTACAGCACGAGCGCAATCGTTTGTTGATACTCTCCTCACACATCCTCACACATCCACACACAAGCGGAATCGAAGGGCGAACCATGACGTTCATCCCTGACCGCGCACGTTCGCGCGCATCTCCTCACGGAAAACGCGCGCGAACACACACGCACGCGAACACATATGCAAAGACAAGCACACACAAGCACACACACACACACACACACACACCTACACACGGCGCCCGCACACACACGCCCCTCAGGTGCAGACGCGCGCACGATCCTGCCTCGCGCGTGTGGCACACACTTCAATACAAACAAAAACACAAAGGAACACGCACTCGAACACACACACACACAATGAAGCATGCACAAACACACAATCGCACACAAACACACACACACACACACACGCCCACCTGCACACATGCAGCCACAAAATCTTTCGATCTGCGCGAGCATATCGTCACAAAAAACCTCCCCGCACGCGCGCACATGCAAACATACATCCCGACTGCGTGCGCACTCACCGTGTGGAACTGCCGAGTGAAGATGAGCGCAAACCCCGACGTTTGTCGTGACGGCACTCTGTCCACCTTTGGGCGTGCACTTCGCGTTTGCTGGGGTGTTGCGTGGGGTGGCGGTCGCGCCTTCTGAGAAAGGAGATCGGAAGCGACGTCGAATATGACGTGGACAGTGACTTGGTAGGCGGAGGGACATGCGAGGGCATGTGGGGTGCGTCGGTGCCACGAAACGTGCGTGGTGAAGAATGGTTGTGCCAGCTATGGCGCGCCAGCTGTTGACGACAGTGGCGGTGCGTGGCTTCCGTCGAGCAGCATCTCCCCAGCAAAAAACGCAAAACGCATCGTCAATGCGCAGGACGCCGCTCGTATTTATAGGTGCGCGGGACACGAGGCCCCCTCGGGCCTTCTGTTTTGGATTTCCGTGCAGGGTCCGCGCGCCGACTCGCGGCTGTTCGATCCGCGCATCGAACGGTGGCTGCACGTCGAAATTGTCGCGAGGGTGGCCTTGTGCGTCGAAATGTGACAAAAATGTCCCTACGGGCTGGCCCTTCCCGGATGTCATTGGAAAACGGGCCCTTGTTCCGGGCCCCTCGCATTCGTGTCTTCGGGTTCGCGGGCCCCGGTGGAGGGGGTGTCAGGTGTCAGCGGGGGGCAGTTTGTACTTTCCAGGGGTGAGGGGGGAGAACCGCGGGAGGGGGGAGGG